CCATGCAGGTCGAGGTCCCGTGGCGGCCCTCAGAAAGCCCTTACGTGACTTTTCCAGAGTCCCCGGAACATCTCTGCATTCTCGGCGTGGACGACAGGGCCGTACCCTCGTTCGCCAGCTCAGGCAACGACTGCGACATGCCAGGGAACCCGGGCCCGACGACCTCGAAGCCTGCGACATTGACTCGAGATGACGCCCTGCCGCAGGACATCGTAATGCGGGACGCTAAGCCCAGCACCATGGACCCCTCCAGTCGCCCACACCACCCCACAGGCAAGGCAATGGAGTGGGAGTCGGAACCCAGCGACGACGAAGAAGACACGGGCCAGCGATTCCGACGCAGGGATCCGGTCCTGACTCTGGTCCCCTGCCAACCGCTGCCCGTCCACGCACCACCCGCAGCCATGGCCTCTCGATCACCCGAGGATGCCACCTCGAGCGCCGTCCACGCACCACCCGCAGCCATGGCCTCTCGATCACCCAAGGATGCCACCTCGAGCGCCGTCCACGCACCACCCGCAGCCATGGCCTCTCGATCACCCGAGGATGCCAGCTCGAGCGCCGTCCTCGAGTCCACCGCAGCTGCCACACCCCCTGCGATAACCCCGAGGTCCAGCTCCCTCAGTGCCACGCTAGGCATGTCACCCGGGACCATCGGACAACTGCTAGACCAGATCCCAGCTGGGGTCGAAGACTTGATTTGGGCTGCTCCAGAACGCTGGAACCCCGACGGCCTCGTCAGCCCACCTCAGGACGCTACTGACGGACGAGAGAGGAGCCCCGTGCACCCCAGCGAGGACCCGCCGGAAGGCGAGCGATATCCGCTTCCGGACGGGTGGGAGCATAATCTACCGGACCGCCGTGTGCCCGCTGTTGTGTGGCGGACCATCTCCGCCAGACTCGCCGCCGCCCAGTACGCCCGCCAACGCCTGCGAGTACGGACTGAGGATGGGTCGTACCAGATCACCCCTCGGTCCAGCGGACGGGGAACCGTCTCTTTTTTTCCCCGAAGTAGGGTGGGGATGTAACGCCCCAAATCTGGGGCGCACCATTTCATCATCATCATCATCATCGCCAACTGCGTGCCGAGAGAGAGCTCGGAGTCACCTTCGCTTTATTATTATTGTTACTAGGTTAAGTTCATTATTATCATCGTTATTACTAGGCTAAGTTCATTATTATTCTTGTTCCTATTAGGTTAAGTTCATTTCTCCCCCTTGTAAATATTACGCATTTCTCATTATAAACTTATAAAAACTAAACTAAGCGGTAGATATTAATTATTAGTAGTGGAGAAGTGAACCCCCGAAACGAACTAGGTGGCAACCCCTGAACACTACGTTAGCCAAGACGCGACCCGCGCAGAGACCCTGTGATCGATAAGCCACTCGATAAGCGACCCGGCCGATCGATAAGCGCGACGCGTCGCTTAAGTGCGAGCACTAGTTTTGTCACTCATCCTCTTCCGCTCTCAGCGCTCATCGCGACAAGACGTGCGCCAGTCACCGCATCCTTCGAGACCGAAGAGACCAACGCGACATCTCACCACCGAGTTAGCTCTCGCGCACCCGCGAATTTGTGTTCCGCCGCGCCACCACCACGCTCGATCGCGTGCTGTGACGCGAGCCGCCGCTGCCACACGCCGGCCACGCGAGTTTGCCCTACGCGTTTCCCCCCTCCCCACGCGCCAGATCGCGACAACCGCGTCGCCAGGAGTCACGTAAGCACCTTTTCCCCCCTTTTCCCCTATTTGTAAGGGCAGCAGCAAGCCCCGACCTCCCAAAGAATACACATAATAAACCAACAGAAAACCCAAAGTGAAGTGAAGTTATTATTATTTCGTAGTTCGTGGTACCCTTGCGCCTCACCCTTCTCCTCCACCTCGACCGAGACCGACGCTTGTGTCTGGTTTCCCACTCACAAGACGAAGCTTCGGCCGAGATTTCCTCCTCTTCTCTTCCCCCTGCGTGGCCCAGCTAAAGTAGACTTTACGTAGACTCCGAGTCCATCCGGAGTAGTAGTGTTTACATAGACTCCGAGTCCATCCGGAGTAGTAGATTTTACGTAGACTCCGAGTCCATCCGGAGTAGTAGATTTTACGTAGACTCCGAGTCCATCCGGAGTAGTAGATTTAACGTAGACTCCGAGTCCATCCGGAGTAGTAGATTTTACGTAGACTCCGAGTCCATCCGGAGTAGTAGTGTTTCCGTAGACTCCGAGTCCATCCGGAGTAGTAGAGTTTCCGTAGACTCCGAGACCATCCGGAGTAGTAGCCCCCCGCTTTCCCCCCTCAGCCCCGATTCCGATACCGTGAGCCGCTGCGGCGACCCACATATATCCTCGGCCTACAACGCCACCTATTGGTCCGAGTCCCCCTCACGACCAACACGCGTTTTCGGCCTACAACGCCACCTAGCGGCGTGAGTTGTGAACTCACGATCGGCGTGAAACCCGTCAGAGGGCGCTATTCTCCGAATTTTCGGACGATCACCGTTCCCACCCCAACCGAATCTCACCTCTACGGTGTGATCGGCCCTGACCGGCAGACGGCGCTACCCGCGTTCACCCACCAGGGGGCGCCAGCGACACTTTCTCTGACTTTTGCCAACCTCAAGCCTCATTCCAAGCCTCATCCGTTCGCCCGACAGATGGTGCTGGAGACCCACCTTTTCACTGTCGGCTATACGGATGAGACAGTACAGTGGCTCTTGGCAGTAAACCACGTGGTCCTACGCCCGGATACGTAACCTGCGATCTCTTTCTCTCGTTTCTACGTATGGTGCGCCTCGTTCCTCGGTATTCCGCCACCCCCATACTATTCCTACTACAGGTCCCATCCCTCTATATAAATTTTCTTGTATAGGTTCCTTGGCCCCGACTGAGATTTTATCCCGGCCAGAGAACTACGTGACAACATATACCCTTATACATACACAAGAAACCAAACATTAGCTAGTACTAAACTATAAGCCCCCACCCTTTCCCCCTGTAAATAAACCTTTTCCCCCCTCCCCCTATCTAGACCTAAGAAAAAAAAAACAAACAAAAACCACAAAAAAACAAAACAAAAACAAAAAATCACACAAAACACAAAAAAAAAAAACTAAAAAAAACACAAAAACACTCAAAACCTAATCGTCTCAGAAATTTATTTGTTGTCTGAGGTGGTTGCTGAAAGAAATGCCGACCCGGCCCCAGAGTAGACTTGGCCGATCGCTGGTCGAAAACTGAATGCTTACCAAGGGCTGGAGCTCGCCTTATATAGCGCTCCAGTGCGGCCGAGTGTGACCGACGCGCCCGGAGAAATTTGCCATTAAGAGTGTGGCCAGATCCTCATTTGGGCCAATGTGACCCTTTGCGCCTGATCATGGCGCGCGCGCGCATTTAATTCAAATCTATTCCATATTTCATATTCATAGTTTTCTATTGAATAATCTATTATCATCCTTATTTTATCTTACGTATATATTTGTGCGCGTCTGCGCGTCACACTTGTTATAATACTATGTTTTGAAAAAACATTGTAGAATTTATGATCTACCCAACAATTTCAACAAGTTTTCAGAACGAGTTTTCAGAAAATGTTATCGATGCATATGTAAAAAAAAAAAATTAAATAAAACTAACAAAATGATGTTTCTTCCTTATATTTATGAAATTAACTGATTTTTAAATTTAGGGTGAAAACTGGATTTTTTAGGGGGAAATTTCAACTTTTTGCGATTTTGTAGTGGGAAAGCCAAATTGTCATCTGGCAACACTGTCTAGACCGCTCGCGCCATTTCTATACAAACAAAAGTGTTTTTCGTTAGCGCCAGTTGAGAAGAAGGTGGCCGCCAAAAAGGCATCTGGTTCAGGTTCATCACATCCGCCAACTCAACAAATGGTGGATGCTTCCATTAAGAACTTGAAGGAGCGTGGTGGCTCATCGCTTCTGGCAATCAAGAAATATATCACTGCCACCTACAAATGCGACGCCCAGAAACTGGCTCCATTCATCAAGAAGTACTTGAAGTCCGCAGTGGCTAATGGAAAGCTGATCCAAACATAGGGAAAGGGTGCGTCTGGTTCCTTCAAACTGTCGGCCTCCGCCAAAAAGGAGCCCCAGCCAAAGGTTGCGGCTGCTGAGAAAAAAGTCAAAAGCAAGAAGGTAGTCACCAAGAAAGCCGGAGCCACCGCAAAGAAAGCTGACAAGAAACCCAAGGCTAAGAAGGCCGTTGCCACCAAGAAGACTGCCGAGAAGAAGAAAACTGAGAAGGCAAAGGCCAAGGATGCCAAGAAAACTGGAGTCGTAAAGGCAAAGCCAGCAGCAGCAAAGGCTAAGCCGGCCGCCGCGAAGCCAAAGGCAGCCAAGGCACCGAAGGCCAAGGCAGCAGAGTCCGCCAATCCTAAGAAGGCAGTGAAGAAAGCAACTGCTCCGGCTACCGCTAAGAAGCCGAAAGCCAAGACCACGGCGTCGAAGAAGTATATTAAGATAATCTTAATTATCGCAATTTTAGATTTCGAAATCTGAAATTTGAAATTGATTTAAACAAGCCCTTTTCAGGGCTACAAAACTTGTTTAAAAGAGAGCTAATTTATCAATTTTTTAAAATTGCAAATAGTGTTCCCGTTGAAATGGACCCGCTTCCTTTAAAACCAAGAAGTATTTATTTATTTGATAATAAATAATAATACTAATATATTAATTTTCGGAGGAAAATAGCGTATCGCAGTCAAGAGTCATGTCCGACCCTATAAACCATATTAATTTTTGGTCATATCGATCTAAGTCGATTTTTTGCTAGAAATACTTTTTTTTCCAAATTTTTTAAAGGGGTCACATTTAAATTGTACAATTCCAGGAAAATTTTAATTCGAAATAGGTTTTGTATTTTACAGGACAGCTTTTGGTTTTAAAATGGAAGCTTTATATATTTAAAGAAAAATTAGGCTTTTGAAAATTCAGATTCTTTGGTAAAACTTTTTGTGGCCCTGAAAAGGGCCTTTTTAATCTTCTCCGCATCCGCGGGGAAATTTACTTGGAGCTGGTGTACTTGGTGACAGCCTTGGTTCCCTCACTGACGGCGTGCTTTGCCAACTCTCCGGGCAGGAGCAGACGAACAGCAGTTTGGATTTCCCGACTGGTGATGGTCGAGCGCTTGTTGTAGTGCGCCAGACGAGAAGCCTCGGCAGCAATGCGCTCGAAGATGTCATTCACAAAGCTGTTCATGATGCTCATCGCCTTTCATAGCAGTCGGTTTGGTTTTAAGTTGTCCTTTATTCAGTTTAAATGATATACAGTTTGCATACTTATTTTATACGTAATACTAGGTGGACTAAAGCTAGTTTACAGAGATCTTGGATTTCTATTTTGCCTCGCGCTATTTGCATTTCAAGGTGGTAGTCTTTTTATGTTTTGTTTATATTATTGTTTGTTTTAGACTTATGGTCATTATTTGTGTTGCGTATGTGACTGGGAAAAATTTTTTGAAAAACCCTGTCGTTCTTTTTTGATTTTGTTGCTGTTGTTTCTTCTTATTATCTAGTGGGGGGGGTGATATTTACAGGGGGGGGGGCTGGTGTATTTACATGGGGACATTTACATATGTGATTTTGATTTTAGTTTTATATATTTGTTTTGTTTTATTAGAATAATAGGCCGTCTCTAGAATTGGTTGATAAGTTTTTTCTACGATATTGCTGTTCACTTTTGCTGTTGTTTGGTGGTTTGCGGCTGCATAAGCAGCCATTTGTCTTTCGGCGGCTTTAACTTCAACGTCTTCCGTCTCACTCACTTCGCTTTTGTTTTAAAAATGCATTTCATGCTTTATTTTTGTGCTAAGTTATATATAAATTCTAGTATATTTAGTTTATGTTTCAGTTCCGTTGTTCCACTTAACACAATGTTAATATATAAGAAGATTAGGATTATAAGAGAAAGAGGATACGGTCACTCTACAATTGTTCGAGAACGCACATTGGCGAAATATTAAAATATTATTAATAAAATCGTGGAAATAATAGCAATCAACTGAGAATCGACGTTTATAACTTCAGAAGTGGGATAACAACCGTCTTACACAAGCGCCTACACTAGTATTTTGGGCTATCCGAGAAATATACAACGTTTTTTTCTCATAATTGAATTGGGAGCACCACGCCAACTGGAAATGGATAAGTCAAAGATTGTGGAATGGCTAAAGGCCAACGAAATCGAGTTCCCAACAAGCGCAACACTCAGACAACTGCGTAATCTTGCTTCAGATGCCGGTTGCCAAGATGTTCATGAGGTTCCTGAAACCATATCGGAGGAAGAAGACACCAAAATGGAACTCATGAGCCAGGGGACCGCGAGCGCACATGTCGAGCACACATTGGAAGAAGAAGAAGAAGCCCTTGACGCCGCAATAAGAGTAGCTGAGAAGAAGAAAATACTCGCCAAATTGATGCAAAATGACGATAAGGTAACGGATGACGTCCAAATGGTAAAGCAGCTCATGGTTCCGTTCTCTGCTACTGAAAATGAAAAAGCACTTCAGTGGATCTTGGATTTTGAAAGAGCTTGCAGAAGTGTAAATGATGACGCAACTTTTCAACTACGTTGTGTTCTTATGCTGATGAAACCAGGGAAAGATGCCGACTTGTTTCTGCGTGTCGACCGATCGAATACGTATGACGAATTTAAGGAAAATTTTGTGAAAACATTTGGCCGCGGCAATTCAACAGCCGATATAGTATTGTTGTTGAAGGAAACCATTTTTAACCCTGACAAGAACACCGTCATAGGTTACATTCTCAAAATGGAGGAAATTGCGCTGCGTGCTAATATTGATGAAAAACTAACCATACAATTCATCATCGATGGTTTTCGCGATCGTTCAGCCAATATCGCACTGTTGTACTCGGCAACCACAATCGAACAACTAAAGGAAATGGCACGAAAATATGCGATTCTACGAAAAAATTCCCAAAATATGTCCTATCGCACAGGAGGCACTATCGCTGGAGGGAGCAGAAACCTGATACGCTGCTTTAATTGTTCGGCACATGGACACTACGCTTCGTCTTGTACTGCGCCGAAGCGCGAGAAAGGATCCTGTTTCCGTTGTGGATCCCTTCAGCACATGTTAAAGGACTGCCAACAGAAGCCAGCAACTACTCCGAGAGTCGTGGGAGCTACCAACAATCAGAGCGGGCGAGATGAGCAGCAAAACGAGATGTTTATACCTATTTTCAATCAGGTAGGAGTATATTTTTGCACTGATCGTAGACAACATAATAATAAAAAAACATTCTTTTCTGCCATGTTCGATACCAGTAGCGTCATTAATTTAATCCAGCGCATAGCTATACCCTACAAAAAGTTTAATGACGTGTTGACCCCAACAAAATATTGTGGTGTAAATGGAGCTCAAATAGAAACATTTGGAAAATTTTTTGTTAAACTTTATTTTCAAAACATTGAAGAAGAAATTGATTTATTTGTTGTACCCGACAATTATGTCGCAACTAATGTACTCTTAGGGCGTAAGTTTTTGGAAAAATTTGGAATAAAGTTGATTTTTAAGGATGAAATTAAAAGAAGAGAAGAAATTATTGCATTGAATGTTGATAGTGACCCATTGAATATTGATAGTGACCCAGTGAATATTAATAGTGACCCATTGCATAGATTGAAGATTTTATTGAATGAATTGAATAGTGACAATGAATCAGAGAATAGTTTTGACATTGAAAATGATACAGTAGAATTATATAAGGCTATCGGAAGAGACAGTGATGATAGCATACCATTTATATATAGTATTGACATATTAAGGGATGATGAAAAATTTGACATAGACCCGAAGTTAAGGACCGTAGTGAACTCAATAAAATAATAAGATTAAATTATTTGGATTTAGCCAACATTCCAGCGATCCAACATAATTATGAAATGAGGCTAAGACTTAAATCGGAAGAACCTGTACGTACTGTTCCAAGAAGACTTTCATATGAGGAAAAGAAGGAAGTAGATAGTAAAAGTGATGAATTATTGAAGAAAGGATTTATAAGAGAAAGTAATTCGCCTTATAGTTCTGCTATTGTACTTGTTAAGAAAAAATCGGGAGAAAAATGGATGTGTGTGGATTATAGACAACTTAATAAGATAACTATTCGTGATGGATACCCATTACCTCTGATAGATGATTAGATTAGATGATTAGAGAGATTAGAAGGGAACCAATATTTCACACTTTTAGATTTAAAAAGTGGATACCACCAAATGAAAGTAGCAGAATATTCAGTGCAGTACACAGCTTTTGTGACACCCTCCGGTCAATATCAATATACAGTATTTATGAGATTTATTAATTTTATTCTGCAGCCATTGATACGTGAAGGAAATATAGTAGTTTATATAGATGATATTGCAATAGGTTCGAAGACACTTAGTGATCATTTTATAACTGTAGGAAGAGTATTGAGAATTCTGGCAGAATATAGACTAGAAATTAAGTTGAGCAAATGTCAGTTCGCTTACCAAAGCATTGAATTTTTAGGATACACTCTCAGTGGGAAAGGAATAAGTCCGAACCATGAACATACATCGACGATTAAACATCTTCCGATACCAAAAGATCGCCATGGTATGCAAAAGTGTTTAGGATTATTTTCTTATTTTAGGCGATTTATTCCGGCATATTAAAAAATAGCAAAACCATTGCAAGACCTAACCAAAGCAGGCTTTAAGTACGAACTTAACGAAAATTGCATAAAAATCTTTGAGTATCTTCGTGAGAAATTAATCTCTTTTCCGATTTTAGCTCTGTATAATCCAAATAGATAAACAGAATTACATTGTGACGCAAGTAGTGAAGGGTTTGGTGGAATTTTATTACAGAAACAAGACGATAATAAATTTCATCCAATTGCGTATTTTTCACAAAGAGCAACAAAACTTGAAGCAAGATATGAAAGTTTTAAATTAGAAACATTAGCTGTTGTCTATTCATTACGAAAATTCAGAATATATCTAGAAGGAATACCATTTAACATAGTAACAGATTGTAATGCAGTAGTTTTATGTTTAGGGAAAGGGACGCCTTAATTCGAATATTGCCAGATGGGCCTTAGAATTAGCGAATTATAATTATACTCTTAAGCATCGTAGTGGGAAATATATGACCCATGTTGATACATTGAGTAGATACCCTTCAGCCCTTAATCAAGATTTTGAGTATGAACCAGTAGTAACAATACAAGAGTGTGACAACCAAGTTAAAATAGTTTCAGTGATTGATAGTGATGACATAAACCTTCAGCTTCAGATAACGCAAAATAGAGATAGTCTTATTGTTAAGTTAAAAGAAAAGTTAGAACAGGGATATGTGAAGAAGTTTGTATTGAGTGATGGAATTGTTTATAGATTAGGTGATAATTTATGTCATTTAGGTACAGACAAATGTGTAAATGAAATAATGAGACATTATTGGTTTCCGGATATGAAGGCTAAGATAGAATCATTTATTGGAAATTGTTTAAAATGTATTATGTTTACAGTAACCACACATGCTAATAATAGAACATTGCATAATATACCTAAACGACCAATTCCGTTTGATACATTACATGTGGACCATTTTGGACCACTACCCTCGGTTATTTCAAAGAAGAAACATTTATTAGGTATTATTGACGGATTCACTAAATTTGTTAAATTGTTTTCTGTAAACACAACGAGTACAAAAGAAGTTAATATTTGCTTTTCAAAATATTTTCAGTATTACAGTCAACCACGTAGAATTATAAGTGATAGGGGTACATGTTTCACGTCATTGGAGTTTGCGAAATTTTTATTAGAAAACAATATTGAACATGAGAAAGTAGCCACTGCATCACCTCAAGCGAACGGCCGAATATGCCATTAATAATTCCGTGCATTCAACTACGAAAGAATTGCCTTCAGTATTATTATTCGGAGTTCAACAGAGAGGTTGTAATGTTGATGCATTAACAGAATATTTAGATGATAGAATCGATATAGCACAGTCTGATTTAGAAAATGTCCGTAAGAACTCTTTAGATAAAATAGAACAATGTCAGAGAAGAAGTGAGAAATATTATCAGAAAAATCATAAAGATCACGTAGAATTTACAGAAGGAGATTTTGTTGTAATGAGAAGCATTGACACCACAATCGGCACAAATAAGAAATTTGTACCGAAATAAGAAAATTTTACCAAACGATAGATACGTGTT